TTGTGTGTGCAAGTTATTTCCGCTTTAAACAAATTAATCCATTCTTTTGGTTTTGCTGTGAGAAGCCGTCTAATCCAAGTTGATTTGAGGCTAGTAATAAATTTATCTAAGTCAATCATTTTTAATCCTCCGTCTTTATAATCTTTCATTAGAGTTTGTCTTTTAATTTTTTCTGTGTTTGACTGCCATATGAATTCGAAAAATGAAGTGTTTAAGTACTGAATTGTGTTTTTGCTCGGGTTAGGTATTGCAATGAACAGATGTGTTATTTTGGGGATTATGAGAGATTTAAGAACTACTATTCTTCCTATAGGAGTGATATTTCTTCAAGACCAATGTTTTAACATTAATTCTATCTCAGTTGTTTTGTTTTTGTAGTTAAGGTCTGTAATTTTGTCTAGTTCAACAGAGAAATGTTTTCCCAATAGATTGAAAGTTGTGACATTCCAGTTCAGTTTCCATCGATGGTGATAAACATCAGCACTAAATTTCTTTGAGCCTATCCATATAACTTGTGTTTTGTCTGTGTTTACTTTCAGGCCTGATATTAGAGCATACTTTTCTAAAGTTTCCAAAGCGTCGGTGAACGATTTCTCAGAACCATCTAGAATAAAACTTGTGTCATCGGCGAACTGTGAGAGTTTGTGTTCTTTGTTATTTACATTTATACCTTTTATGTTTTTATTATTTTTTTACCAGAATAGCCAAGATTTCAGCCACAAGTAAGAAAAGATAAGATGAAACCGGGTCCCCTTGACGACAGCCCCTTTTGATAGGGATAAAGTTTGATAGGAATCCATTTTGTATTACTGCAGATGAGGTTTGACTATTAAAAGTTTTGATCCAATTTATAATGCTGTCTCCAAAGTTAAAAAATCTGAGTACTTCATATATGAAAGGCCATGAAACAGAGTCAAAAGCTTTCTCGAAATCAACAAGGATCAAAGTCCAGGAATATTGTTTTCCTCTGTAAAATGCATTAAGTCATATATTAGTCTGGTGTTTTCACCTATATATGTACCACTCAGGAAGCCTGTTTGAGTTTCTGATATTATTAAGTGAAGTACTTTTTTCAATCTGTTGGCTATACATGCAGATGCTAGTTTGTATATTACATTTAATAGTGTTATAGGTCGCCAATTCTTCAAATGTTGTCTGGGCTTTTCACCTTTAGGGATACATGTGATAAGTCCCTGTCTCTGAGTTATTGAAAGTTTTTCAATGAGTTAAGTATAAAAAGTTTTAAGTCTTGCCAAAAGAATTTGAAAAATTCTGCTGTGTAGCCATCAGACCCAGGTGATTTGTTATTTTTCATTTTTTTTAGAGCTTTTGACAATTCGGATTCTGTAAGTTTTCCTTCAAGGTATATATGTTTAGAATTTTCTAACACAATAAAATTGAAATCTTTTAAGTATTCGTCTAAATTTATTAGCTCAAGGTTTTCTGAGCGGCAATTATATAGATTTGTATAAAATAGTTCAATTTCTTTTAATATTTCTTTTTGTTTAACAACATGATCCCCATTAACTTTTTCTATCCATTGAACTGTTTTATTTGTAAAAAATTTGGATTCTAAACCACAGAAGTATTTTGTCACTTTTTCACCATCTTCTATCCATTGGACCTTTGATCTTATTGTATACCCTTTCATCTTCTCTTTTCTTATGTTTTCTAATTCTATCTGCTTGTTGTTTAGTGAGTTGAGATTTAAGGGAGTGCTTTTTTCAATAATGTTTATTTCCGTTATAAGTTCTTCTTCTTTCTTCTTTCTTTCACACTTAGTCCCCTCTTTTGGTTTGCAGGAATAATGAATGTAATTATCAAATAAGTGAGTGCAGGAGGAATAACTAGATGAAATGGCTAAGATACTGTATAAATCTGAAAAATTAATCTGACAACGGCTGTTGGTCACACACACTGACATGAAGCAGCAGGCAGGCGAGATAGCAGACCAACTGCGCATTAATGCATCATTAGGTCAAATGCCCCCTGGAAGAAAAACGAGCGGATGGCAACCGCCTATCGTTCGTTCATAACTCGAGGGTAGCGGGTTTGTAGATTGGTGATCCAAACCCGTTCTTTCGTACGTCGTCTCGTTTCATCCCATGTAGGGCAATGATCTATGGCAACAACCTGCATTTCTTTCCAACTGTGGCTAGACATATTAAAATGCCTTGCCACAGGGAAGTCTGGTTTGCTTTGCTTGATGGAGCAGCGGTGGTTGTTGATTCTGACATTGAGCTGGGTGCAGGTCTCGCCCACGTACTGTAAATATATGTATATGTATATATATGTGGATGTATTTGTATGTGTATTATGTTTTTTTTGTGTATATTAGACGTGCTATGTTTATCCTTGTGTGTAATATTATGTTGTATATTGAATTTGTTAGGGTGTAAAAGAAGTATGTTTTGTGTTCTTATCCTGTACTCTATTTGCAAATATTTTATTTTCCCATTGCCCTTCCTATTTATTTATTTATTGTTTGACTGATGGATGTTGAATGAGAACCCTCCTGCGTGAGGACACCATATTGTTCAGGGGCTGACTCCAGGGCTCCCCAACCCTGGCATCCCCTATCAAAATATTCATATATGTATATGTATATACATATTTATGAATATGATTAAAACTGAGATATTAGTAGAGTTTTGATAACAACTATTTTACCTATTGGTGTAAGTATTCTTTAGTTCTAGACCGATATATGTTTTATCAGGTGTGGGCTTCACACTTGGTGGGCATATTCTATATTAGGTCTTACGAGGCCTTTGTATAGAGCTTTGAATGCATTTAGTATGGTCCACAGGGACCTGGGAACTTGTTACAGCTATATTTAAACCTAAACCAAGGTGTTCAGAGTAATTTTACATGTTTTAGGGGTATAGATCGACTTTCGGTAAAAACGACACCCCAATTATCCTATATGTATATACATACAATCATTGGGAGTGTATAGCTGTAGTTCAAGTTCAAGTAAATTTTAATTAAAAGTCGGTACATGGTTAAATAAGGCAACACAAGCCTATGGAAGGCTTTTACAACCGACTTTATAACAAATAAAAATGGAGGTAGCATTTTATAAAACATAACAAGCATGCAAATCTATGACACTGTTAAAAACACACATTGATAAACATATAAAAGATAGGTAGTGTGGTTCCAAAATGAAAATTTCAGGAGAATAACTTTTGGCACTTTTTCGGGTATTTTCTTTTGGCAAACAGTCAAAAAAGGCGGCTACAGTGCCCAATCCTTAATCACGATTAATTATAAATTCCTAGATAACTTAAAACATTCTGGAAAACCACACTTATCACACAATGCCTTCAACAAATTACATAATTACAGCACACATAAATAAATAGCACAGATTGCATAGAAAACATACAAACAAGATTTGAATTCAAAATACAAGAAATAAAACGATAAATTATAAGCAGCACATACAATTTACATAAAATAAAAGCGAAGCAACATAAATAGCACATACAAATTATATACACATACACATTTAAAAGCAAAATGACTAACTAAAAGCATTGAAGCAAAATGGATAAAACAGCAGAGGTAGCAAAGGGAGGGAACTCATCTGCACATCGCACAGTGGCAACTTTCACCATTCCAAGCTTTTTGTTATTTTCCTAAAATCATTAAAAGAAGTAGAGAGTCTGACATGCTCTGGCAGTGAGTTCCATGTAGAGGCAGCTAAAAAGTTAAAACTATTTGTTCCATACTTAACTCTTCACCTTCTAGGGACTTCTAAAATGTTACTGTATCCGAAATTATAAGATGATGTTTTTACATGAATAACATCCTGTAAATAACAGGGGCTTTGTCCATTTAAAATTTAAAAAAATTCTATAGCTTCTTGTCTGAGTCTACTTAATTGTAATGTACACAAGTGTTACCTTTTTCTAAAATATCTTCGTAGCTGGAATTAAAATCTTGATATACACATTTAAGGGCTCTATAATGTACCCTTTCAAGTTTCTGGGTGTTTGCTTTGGNCACACCCAGAAGCTTAACATAATCGAAATTTCACCTATGCAAAAATAGGTATTTTCAATCTGTGGTTTTTTACCAATTGTAATAGCCTGCAACTTGTCGGGATTTGCCTTCATTTTATTTAAACCAGTCTAATAGAGAAGAATATGTCATTTATAAAAATATTAAAAATAATCGGTCCGATTTTTGAGCCTTGTGGTACACCTTACCGCCAATTCTTACACATTGCTTTCTGTTGGAGAGATAGCTCCTGATAACCCATACGCTCCCAGCTTCGCCAATAGGAGTTCAGACGTTACACAGTCATATGCCTTGGACAGATCCATCAGAATGGCAGCAGCATATTTGATACCGTCCAAGGCCATTCGCCACTCTTCAGTGAGTGCTATCAGTGATGACTGACAGCTGTATCCACGACTGAAAGCTGAGAGGAAGGGATAGAAAATACTGCTGAAGTAGCCCTCAAGTTGCCCAACCATAGACCTTTCATTTTTTTTGGAAATAGTCGGTAAAATGCTCACTGTTCTATACGTTTTTTTGCTTAAAGGGTTCTCCTTTTTAAAAATAGGGGTAACCCTAGCAAGCTTAAGTTGGTCTGGAAAATAGCCTTTAGATAAGCCCATGTTAACCAAGTTTGTAATAGGTATTGCCATAACATTACTGGTGAGATGAAGAACCTTAGGAGATATACAATCTAAACCTGTTCCGATTTTCTTTATATATTTCATCAGGTCTCTATAGCTGTTGTATGGTCCCGCCATATATTAATTCCACGCATCTTATTTAGTCATTATATACAAAACGGCAGAGTACGTTACGCCTGGCAATACCAATAGCAGTCTAGCGATGACTGGGTGGTGTAATACTTTAGTCCGTGTACCGTTACATATGTCGGATTGTGTTCTCTATCATTTCAGGGCGTGGCCGTGAAGTAGGCGGTTATAGCAACAGGGGAGAGAACTCGCACTATATTCAGAAAGGTTTCGTAAGAACTTCCGTTTTTAAATGTAACATTTTTGGGTATAAATACTGTCGGACCTGCAAATTATGCAGGCTTTGTAAGGCTTTATCAAGGAAAAGCAGCATCAGATTACTAAGTCCGACATTAGTTGATAAACGAACAACTGTGGTCCGAGCAGCAGGGACCCAGACTACCGGTTGAACTGTTTAAACTAATGCGGAAGTAAAAAAATAAACGCGCGGCCCCAACTAGGCATAGGTAAACTTTGTGGTAACCACGGCTGTGATTCATGTGTGTGATATACATGGTTGAGTGGTCAATACCGGGTAAATCATACGAGCATTACCTGTATCTCTGTAACGACGACACAACACTATACAGTCTACAGCGAAAGTGATGAGCTGCCAGTAACAGGTGAGACAACTATCATTTTATCATTTGTTTGGCTGTACCCGCGTTATTTAACATGCAGGTTTATATAAGAGTTGCCGTGCGTTCGCTAACATGATATAGCCGGGGTGTGCCTCGCCTTATATTCTGTACACCTTACGTAACTGAAAAATGTCGTTTACTTAAACAAGTACTTGAATGCGGGTGTTCTACGTCCTTCTTTTTCGAATGACGACTGACAAGTGCCGGCACGAGCTAGAAAAAACATTCACACGTATACGTAGATCACTCACAGATCACTTTTACCGCTGCACATAATACTCGAAAGACGGTGTTGCAGAATATCTAGATAGATAGATACCGTCTTATCGATCAGGTGATGATGATTAGCCAAAATATCGACTGATAAGGGTTGACAATGTTTCATTATTTTGGACAATTAATTTAATTCTTTTTAATTCTTCAATTAAATTGTCGCACGTTATATAATTCAACAGAAATGACAACATTTAAAAAAAAACATGATTGTTTAGGCATACTTGCCAACCCTCGATCCCTAGTTAGCAGTTTAGGAGGGAGATATGCCAGATTTTTAACCCTTTAATTTAGAATTTTTAACCAGTGAATTTGCTAAACTATTCCTATATTTTAAGATCTTATGAATTCATTAGAAAGAACAACTAAAAATATATCATTTCAAAGGGTTATTTGGGCTCTAGGAGGGGTAACGGGTTGTTTCGCCCCAAATCCTGTTTGCCCTAAGGGTTGTTTCGCCCCAAATATAAAAGACTAAGAAGACTTAATTTGTGACTTAAAACAAATAAGAATAAAAAGAAAATACCAAACAATGTTTCGCCCTAAAAAAAGAACCGTAGGGGGTATATATACACAATTTATTGAGGTTTTAAATTTGAGAGTTCAGAATCTCCCCCATGAAAATCTCCAAGAGTTGGCAAGTATGGTTTTGGTAATTTCATTGGGCTTGTGTCAGTGTATCATCATGAATGAAATTTGTCATGAGCTGGTTTTTATCCTCAAAAAAAAAGATGGATGGAAGCGGTTTGATAATCCTGTATCAGGAACAAATGTAACTTTGACAATTAGTGGAACTATTGAAAATGTTATTGATTTTGGTATTAAAAGTGACGCACTAAACACATACTGAACACATACTTGAACTTCTGATGTATCCATATGTGGTGACTTATTATCAAGAAAACTTTGAGGAAATGTATCTGGAATCATGCTGTTATTGACTGAGTGCACGAGGTAAGTCTGGCCAGCCGAGTACATTTTATTATGTAGGTCAATATAATTATTTTGTACAGATACTATAAAGGTGAATTAACCTTCAGTCAGCATTTTTGGCTTTGTAGTTTAAGTAGTCATATTATTATCAGTCAGCCTTTTTGGCTTTGTAGTTTAAGTAGTCATATTATTATCCAATGACAATACTAGTTATCTTTCTGGACATTTGTAACATTTCCTTACAGTTTTCTAGTTAACACAAATGTATTAGGTGACTCATGCATTAATAGTATTCAAAGTTGTGCATGTACAACAATCCTGTGTTCACCAATTGTCATGATATACTTTTTTCTTTATACTTGATAACCAACTGCTTCAAGACCCACATTGTTTTTAACAGTTAATGATTTATAATAGTTTACTTCTAGATATTGGGAGTATCTTTTAACCGTCTTTCTAAGTCTGGGAAATGGTAAGTCTGTCCTATGTCTGGGTAAGAGTAAGTCTATCCATTGTCAGTGTTTTTTACCTAAATTTTACAACAGCCTGTTCCTTTATCATTTAGGAAAAAATAGCATTGTTTTTATTGAAAATGAGGATATGTTTTTCATTTTTTATTTATTTTTGGAAAATAAGGTACTTTTTAGCTAGGGGAAACAGCCTGAATTTGACTGTATAGTCTTTGTTGTTGCAGGTAACTAAATGCAATTCAAGGAACCTGCAGTAAACTAGGATAACCAGTGTCAAGGTCAGGAGATCTAAAGGGTATGGGTCGTGGAGGGAAGCGGGGAGAACTGAGTTGGAGTGAGGTTCGGGAACACAACAAACGCAATGATAAATGGCTGGTGATTGAGGGACAGGTGTATAACATAACTAACTGGGCAGGCCGCCACCCTGGAGGCTCCCGAGTGATCAGTCACTATGCAGGACAGGACGCCACGGTAAGGACATCGTCAATTCATCTGCAATTTTTTAAGTAACAATTTCCAACTATATGAATGCAATAACAACAATTTCACAAGCAGAGTTCCTTGCTAAAGAAAAACATCTATGTTTTTGCATTGTCAACAAATGTTGTTCTTGGTTTTTTTCTGGTAGGTATGCTGCCTCTGGAAGCTCTACTTTATCTTTATCCAATAGAACATAAACAGTCAATGTCTAGGCTTATAATGATGGGGCAACAAATAAACTTTATTAGTCTTCCACTTCACCGTGTGCTTACCAGAGGGGACAGTCTTGAAGGTGTCCACTTCACCGTGTGCTTACCAGAGGGGACAGTCTTGAAGGTGTTAAATTTGAATGTCAGAGTAATGTTATTGTGCCTGATATATAGCATAACTGTCTTACCTCTAAATGGTATAACGTAGGTATACAGTTTAGTACTGACATACAGCCGTCATACAGCCACGTATTGTCAGTAAAATAAGTTTGGTGGTACAATGCATGATCACAAGTTGTCCTTGCTAAACCACTGGTGATTCATCATTGGTGTTCGTTTCTTAAAGTCCACATATTCCATACTTAAAAAAACCCCACCAACAAACATTAAATATAAGTCACTTTATTTTACACAAACATTTTTATACAATAATGGCATGACCTCAAAGTTGATTTTTGGTGTAACATATATGGCCAGTGAATAGTGACCATTGAATTTTACGGGCCAACTATACTGCACACCTTTCCAAACCAATTTGAATGCTTTGTAAAAGCATTGTGTGTACCCTTTTGAAGCAAATTGTGTCATTCATGTAAATGTAGAGATGTAAAATGTTATAAATAGATAAAAACACTGTATAAATCTGGAAGGCCTGTCTATATATCTGGTAGGCATGTCTGTATATATCTGGTAGGCCTGTCTTTATAAATCTGGTAGTCCTGTCTGTATATATCTGGTAGGCCTGTCTATATATCTGGTAGGCATGCCTGTATATCTGGTAGGCGTGCCTGTATATCTGGTAGGCCTGTCTGTATATATCTGGTAGGTCTGTCTGTATATATCTGGTAGACCTGTTTGTATATATCTGGTAGACCTGTCTAGATCTGTATATATCTGGTAAACCTATCGGTATAGATCTGGTAGGTCAGTTTGTATATATCTGAAAAACCTGTCGGTATAGATCTGGTAGGGCTGTCTGTAAATATCTGGTAGGCTTGTCTGTATATATCTGGTAGGTCTGTCTGTAAATATCTGGTAGGCCTGTCCATATATCTATATATTTTGAGACTGATTGGATAAACAACATGGGTGACAGGCAGCCCTCTCGGATTTTGATAGTGAAGGTTTGTTATCGCGGAAGTACCAGAGGGATCTTTCTCAAATTTTATATGTAGGTTCCCCTTGTTCCCTTGTTGTGCAGAAGTGCCTGAAATGGACGGTCACCTGCTCGCCAATGGCAGTTAAAGTCTTGTTCGAGAGACCAAAAGTTGTCAAAAGTGAGTTAGTCACTGACCCAACAAAAACAGTTTGGGCGACTGTTGAAAAATTAATGAATAAAAGAAATTATAGTCCCTTCCACATTAAGGTCATTGGAGTGTATTGATAAACAGAAACAGGAAGTACATCCCTAGTTGAATAACCAATGTAGGGAGACAGCATCACAATTTCCGCAAATTCTAATGTTTAATATTAAATTGATGAATATTGTATGTTTATTATTGACAGAACAGTGTGTTCTCTCAATATTAAAGTAGTTCAAAGCAATCCAGGCATTAATTCAGGTTTTTTTTTATCAATGAGTCACATGTGTCCATTTTTCTGTACTTCAGGAAACCGGCTACCTATTTCACTACTGTGAAGTTTTTCAAGAACGATAACTCTTACCTGCAATTACTATATGTGTATATGGTTTTATTATAAAATGTCAATTTTTATATCGTGTATAGAGAATTAATTTTACACAATTTCAGCATTTATTAAATTGATATACATTTATGCAATACTGATATATGTCAGTATCATTTTTATTGACATATTATTTTGTAAAAATATTGTGTCTTTCATTTTTTTTTTCAAAATTCACTCCTTTTTACATAAATTTCCATTTAAAATCCTTAAAATTCTGACAACCTTTATTTTTTTTGTGGCAGAAAATTTTCTTTACTTTAAAGCAATATAACTACAAAATTTGAAGAAATTCTACTGAGAAATGGTGACACAATCCTATTACCTTAACTGGGGGGCAGTACATTTTTCAGTTGTCATTACATCGATTTGAATCGAACTGTCTGTGAGTTAAAAATTCTATATAAATACTGCCAGGGTATGTAATGTTTTATTCTGTTTTACATATTACAAACATTGTCATGTTATATGTAATTTAAATGTGCTGAAGCATTGTTGTGTTAAATGCTGTGGAAATATTTCTTCCCAAAATTATTTGGGCATAAGTGATATTTCTCAAATTTGATATGTAGGTTCCCCTTGATCCCTCGTTGTGCATGTTATATTTGGAGACTGATCATAAAAACAAATGGCTAAAGGAAGAACTAAACAGATCTTTCTCATATTGCATTGACCATTCTATTTCTTTCACATTAAGTACTGTACTAGTAAATATGTGAAATGACAAACTCACTTTGAAGGTTGGCTTTCATACACATCAGTATTAAGTTTAGATCAAAAGTTACCTCAAGGTGCATTAACTGTTAACATGACTCGATCAAACAAATTAGAGGAAAGAAGAGAAAAGATCAAACTGACAAAGAACTAATGAAGATGGTACAATGGTGGG